GATAATAATGAGTTCCATTTTCCATTTTAGAAATGTTGAGCTAGAGGTGCTTGCAAAATAAGCAGGTAGAGATGTCCAGTAGGGGACTGGATATTTGGGTATTGTGCTCAGTGAGAGCCTTTAGGCTAGAGATATGTATTTGGGAGTCATCTGCTTGCAGATGGTAGTTGGACCACAGGAGTGGGTAAGATTACTCAGGGAAAACAGGTGAAGAAAGAAGAGGCGAGGCCAAGGACAATGTCCCAGCTGGGGTTCACAGGTAATTAAAGGTTGGGCAAGGCATGTACAGCCAGCAGAAGAGATGGAGAAGGAAGAGGAGAATCAGTAACAGATGATATCTCAAAAAGCAATGGAAGAGAATATTTCAGAAGGAAAAAGGCAGCAGTGACAGATGCCACAGAGGTATCAAGTAATGTCACGATGGAAAAGGTCCATTGGATTTGACAAGAAGAAGGACTCTCTGTGGGACTTGTGCATCTTCATTTCTTGTATATAAAGGTGGATCAACGGTGCCTGTCTTGGGGAGAGAAAAGGATAAGGTGGGGAACACATGAAGGGAAGGATCTCTATTCCAAAGAAACCTGAATGCACTTCTAGTGTAGCATATCCCGTGCTGTTAGGATTGCTTACAGGTTGAGCCAGCCCATGAGATTGTGAGCTGAACTGCATAGATACATACAGTCCCACTGCTCAGAGGAGACCCTTGTTAATAATTTCATTATAAATTCTTTTAGACTCTTTTTCTCTGTGTATAAACAAATATATGTGTTTGTTTATATATATATATACACACACAAATGTAATTTTAAAAATAAATATTGGCTTATACTGTGCATGCTCTTCTGAGAATCTGAGTAAAGTAATCATCTTTCCATGTTACTACACATAGAGCTATTGCAGTCTTTTCTTCCTGTATTTTTTTTTTTTTTTTTTGCGGTATGCGGGCCTCTCACCGCTGTGGCCTCTCCCGTTGCGGAGCAGAGGCTCACGGGCCCAGCCGCTCTGTGGCATGTGGGATCTTCCCGGACCAGGGCACAAACCCGTGTACCCTGCAGCAGCAGGCGGACTCTCAACCACTGCGCCACCAGGGAAGCCCGCTATTGCAGTCTTTAATGGCTGCCAAGTATTCATTGTTTGAATGGACTATAATTCATTTAACAGATTGGACCCTTAATGGTGAGCTTGTAGGTTGTTTTTAACTTTTTGCTGCTGTACACAGTACTGTAATGAATATTTTTATACATAAATCTTCTTTGCACACTGTGGCAGGGTGAGTGTAGGTTAAATTCCAGGGACTGTGTCTCATTCATGTCTGTATCCTCAGCACCAGGCATTAAGTAGGTGCTCTGTAAAAGTATTAAAATGCCCTGAATTGAGGTCTTTGAGGTCCTGCAGTGTCTCATTTACCTTTGTGTTTTTACCATCCACAACAGTGACCAACAGCACAAAATATTGTTTTCTGAGTGAATAATCTCAAGGATATGGAGAACTCCAGCCAGAAAAGGAAAGTGTTGAGTAGTGACTTCAGCTTTAAGTGGCATGTGTTTCATAAGCACCTCACTAAGCATCGCTAACTAGGAAGCACCTTGAGATATTTCTAATGAGGGCTCTGCATTCCTCCCCTTCACCTTCTTCCTTGTGATGAGTATTGATGTACTTCTTTCCCTGGTCAGTAGAAAGACTAGATAAAAATTCCTGGGAGATAATGGGATAGAGAGAGAAGTTAAAGAATCTTGTCTTCCCTTCAAAGTTACTTCCAGGGTGCTCTTCACAGAACCTTTAAAGCAGGGAGAGTTTCCTGTTCAGCCCTGCATGACTAGTACCTAGCGTACCTAGTACAAAGAGGAGGCCTTCAGTCGCCATGTGAGGAGTAAATAAAGCAACCAAGTGTTGAGCTATGCAGTTGGTGTGATCTGAGAAATTTTCTAAATGTTTTGACCATTTTCCCAGATTGAATTCTTTTCCATTTCCTTTTGTTCATTGATGCCTCTTTTATTATATATTAATTTTTATATACAGTAGGGTTTGTTCCTGAGCTTAATTAATTAATTATGGCCGCGTTGGGTCTTCGTTGCTGCGCACGGGCTTTCTCTAGTTGTGGCAATCAGGGACTGCTCTTTGTTGCAGTGCGCAGGCTTCTCATTGCGGTGGCTTCTCTTGTTGGTAGAGCACGGGCTCTAGGCGTGCAGGCTTCAGTAGTTGTGGCACATCGGCTCAGTAGTTGTGGTGCACGGGCTTGGTTGCTCCGCAGCATGTGGGATCTTCCTGGACCAGGGCTTGAACCCGTGTCCCCTGCATTGGCAGGTGGATTCTTAATCACTGCACCACCAGGGAAGTCCCCTGAGCTTCACTTTTTATTCCACAGATCTATCCATCTGTTGTTTTGGTGCCAGTCCATATAATTTTAGTTGCTTTATAATATGTTCCAATAGCATATAAGGCTAGTTATACCTCATAATACATAAGAGTATTTTATGCTATTACCCATTTGTTTTTCTAAAATAAGTGTAAAGCTATTTGGATGTATTCTAATAAAAGCAGCCTACTAAGATTTTTTTATTGTAATTACATTAAATCTACAAATTAATTTCTATATTGACATCTCTGTACTGGTCTTTCCATCATATAATATGGTATATTTTCCCCTTTCATTCAAATTTTCTGTTATATATTTTAGTAAAAACATATGTATTTCCTCATCTGGGTTTCTCATTCCCCAACATTTACCAAACACCCACTCTCCCGACCCCCTCTCCTGCCCCTGTTTTCTGCTGGAGATCCAAAGATAAACGTGTCACAGCTCTTGCCCTCAAGGAGCTCTCTTTGGTGGGCAAGAGAGATAACTGATCAGATAATTACAACTAATTATAATAGTTATTGTGATGAACAGGAGCATGAGGTGCTAAGGAAGCACAGAGGAGAGGTACCAGCCAAGACTGGGGGTTATTATTTTAAGGAAGACTTCCTGGAGAAGGGGACTCCTGAACTGAGTCTTAAAGGCAGAATGTAAGTTAACCAGATGAAGAGAGAAGAAGGAATATTCCAGGCAGACAAAATGCTCATTGGAGTATATGTTCAAAAGTAAAGAGGTGAGAAAAATATTGAAGTGTCTTAGGAGCTGCAAGTAGCTAGAGTATCGATGACAGTGGGGTAATAGCTGGAAATGAAGCTAGAAGGTAGATGGGAAGGTGGCAGATAGTGAAGGTACTTGTGTGACTAGATAAGAATTTGGATATAGGATTGAAAGGTTTAAGTGGTGGAGTGTAATGGTCAGATTAATGTTTTAAAAAATATCCCTGAAAGAGAAACGAATAAAGTTAAATAAAGACCACTCTGGCTGCAGTGTGGAAGGTGGCATTAAGAGGCCAGTCAGGCTGCTGGAGTCATCTGGAGGCGACATGCCCTAAGGCAAGGTCAGTGGTGACGGGATGGAGTTTAAGAGTGGTTCCAGAGCTATTAAGGAGATAGGCACATACACAAACAGCACATGGGCATGCAACCCCCTCTTGTTAATGAGTTGCTAAGTGGTTTATGGTTTTTACTAGTTTAAGCATGATTTTCCCCCTATTATACTGACTGTTTATTGCTGACATAAAAAAGCTATCGATTGTTTTTAAAAGTATACCTACCTTATATTCTAATACTTTTTGAACTTTAATTCTAAATATTTACTTGATTTCTTTGGCTTTTCTATGTGTTTATTTTTATCTAAGTACTTTTGCATATGATATTTTTTGACCCTTTCCTCTTTTTCCATTTTTATTATGAAAATCTCAAACATTCACAAAAATAAAGAGAATAGTACAAACCCCCATAGGCCTTTCACCTACATTCAGTAACTATTAAGGTTTGGTCGCATTCACTTTATCTTTCCCTTTTTTGTGTTTTTGTGCTGTTACTGAAGTATTTTAAAGCAGAATCTCAGACCTTTTGTCATTTCAGCTCTACATACTTCAGTATGCATCTCTAAAACATATGGATCTTTTCTTACATGGCTACAATGCCATCATCGTGCTCAACAAAATCAACAATAATTCTTTGATATAATTGAATAACCAGTGTATATTTGTATTTCTTGTTTATATCAAAATATATTTTAATTGGTTTATTCCAGTCAGGATTTGGATCACACATCACATTTGATAGTTTGGACTCAAAAGACTCTTTTAATCTTTAGCAATCCATAACCTTACTCCCTTTTTTTAAAAGTGCCATTGATGATTGAATGTTGTCCTGTAGAATGTCCCACATTCTGGATTTGTTTCTTATGCTGTAATTTAACTTATTCCTCTGTCTCTCATATTTTCTATAAACTGGAGGTTAGCTTTGAATGACTAGTTACTAGGGTTATGGTTCATCTTTTCCTTGGGAGGAGGGTGTAAGACTACTTCATAGGTAGGGCTGTGAAGTGCTACCTCTATCTGATAGTGCCACTCTTAGGGATGCTAAGATTGATCAGTGGAGATGATGACACCTCATCTTTCCATTGTACATTTCCCCATCAACTTTTCATTGACTGATTTCATCCACTGTTGATTGTCACCTGAATGAATTATTTCATCATGGGCCACAAAATTTTTTTAAATTCTGTCAATTTTATCACATTTATTAGCTGAATAAAGAATATTCTGTCAATAACTTAGGACTGTTTGGTTGTCCTGAAATATAATATGTACTGAAAAGACAAGATAAATGCTTAATTCGTTTTCTTTTATTGCAATTTTTGGATTAAGGAGTTGGTACCTTAGGTGTTCCATTTTAAGTATCTATTGATCGTGCTTCTGTTTTATGACTTATTTCATTGGCTAGCCCAGTGATTCTCCCCCAGTGATTATCTTGTTATCTCAGCCTTTAGAAACAGGTCTTCATTTGCACAAGAGCCTTTACATCCTTAGGTGTGTGAATGACTTGCTAAGTGTCACACATTAGTCCTTCCAGTTCTGTACCTTTCAGAAGAATAAAGAACAACCTTTTCTTTGGTTTCTGTTCTCTTGTTCCAGGTCACACTGTGAACAAGATGCGTCAACACTCAGATTCAGAAGTGGCTTGTCTTGCCAGAGAAGTTTACACTGAATGGAGAACTTTCATTGAAAAACACAAGGATAGACCTTCTATAGAAGTCCGAAGTGATTCCAAAACCGAGACATTTAGGAAAAATGCCCAGAAATTACTCTCAGAAGCCTTGGAATTGGAGGTAATGTCCTGGTTGGAATGTGATGACTAGGTACTCTGGGTTAAATGACCTTCATATTTTCATAATGAACTTTCATAGTCTTAAGTGCTATGGCTTTATTCTAACTTTTTTTTTTTTTAAAGATTCTGGATTTGTAAACGTTCTGGGGGACAGTATTGTATAAAGAGTACAGGCTTTGGAATTAGCAAGACATGAATTAAAACCCTGGCTCTAGTATGTGCTGGTTGTGACACCTTAGGCAAATCTCTTAACATTTCAGAGACTTGATTTTTTATCTGTGAAATGAAGATTATAATTCCTACTACCTAAGATTATTGGAAAGATTAAATGAACCATATATACAAAAGAATAGGACAGTGCCTGGTGGTTAGAAGTCACTTAATGAATGTTGGTTCCTTCCCATATAAAATTCTTACCCTAACAAATACCATATGATATCACTTATATATGGAATCAAAATATGACACAAATGAACTTATTTACAAAACAGAAACAGACCCACAGACACAGAAAACAAACTTATGGTTACCAAAGGGGAAAGGGGTTAGGGGAGGGATAATTAGAAGTTTGGGATTAGCAGATAAAAACTACTATATACAAAATAAATAAACAACAAGGTCCTACCATATAGCACAGGGAACTATATTCAATATCCCGTAATAAACCATAATGGAAAAGAATATGAAAAAGAATATATAAAATTGAATCCGTTTTCTGTACACCAGAAGCTAACACAGCATTGTAAATCAACTCTACTTCAATAAAAATAAATAAATAAAATTCTTTCCCTTTCCACTGAAGCAAAAATTCTGAGATGGACTCTGTTACGGAATATCAATGGCAAAATACATAGCTGTCTTTTGAAAAGACTGTACTCCATTTTCGGTCAGCACTCATACCGTTAGTTCTAATGTATATAGTCAATTGCACAATCCCTATCATCTTCATGACCAACAGTTAGAATGGTGTTAGTGGTTTGAGGTACACATGCTGGAAGAATTTTTGCTCATTAGCAATAGTATTAATCATCATCAAATAAATCTTATAGGTCAATTAATATTCTGTAAAAATCAGACATATAACATCCATATTTTTTCCTCTCAGGGTATCCCTAATAATGTATCCTTAAAGAATAACTTAATATTATTAACAAAAGAAGCAATTCAGAAGTCTGATTTAAATACCTGATCTGTCACTGCATTCTCTGAAAAAATATTTTAACCTTTCTATCTGTTATGTATCCACAAAAGAAAGGCAAATCGGCTTGTGGTATATTATTTACTTTTAAAAAATAAAGTTTGGGGTTTTTAAATACAAACTTATGATAGAAAATGAAAAAATATGGAAAGGAAAAATAAGATCACCATTGAACCTACCATCCAGACATAGTCTTGTTAACTTGTTAATTTTGGTGCATTTCTTGTTTGGTAAATTATTGTAGCTCTTTGTTTTTTTTTTTTAAATAAATTTATTTATTTATTTATATTTTTGGCTGTGCACGGGCTTTCTCTAGTTGCAGTGAGCAGGAGCTACTCTTCGTTTCGGTGCGTGGGCTTCTCATTGTGGTGGCTTCTCTTGTTGCGGAGCATGGGCTCTAGGCACGCAGGCTTCAGTAGTTGTGGCACGTGGGCTCAGTAGTTGTGGCTCGCAGGCTTTAGAGCGCCGGCTCAGTAGTTGTGGCACACGGGCTTAGTTGCTCCGTGGCATGTGGGATCTTCCCGGACCAGGGCTCGAACCCGTGTCCCCTGCATCGGCAGGCGGATTCTTTTTTTTTTTTTTTTTTAACATCTTTATTGGGGTATAATTACTTTACAATGGTGTGTTAGTTTCTGCTTTATAACAAAGTGAATCAGTTATACATATACATATGTTCCCATATCTCTTCCCTCTTGCGTCTCCCTCCCTCCCACCCTCCCTATCCCACCCCTCCAGGCTGTCACAAAGCACCGAGCCAATATCCCTGTGCCATGCGGCTGCTTCCCACTAGCTATCTACCTTACTACGTTTGTTAGTGTGTATATGTCCATGACTCTCTCTCGCTCCGTCACAGCTCACCCTTCCCCCTCCCCATAACCTCAAGTCCGTTCTCTAGGAGGTCTGCGTCTTTATTCCTGCCTTACCCCTAGGTTCTTCATGACATTTTTTTTCCTTAAATTCCATATATATGTGTTAGCATACTGTATTTGTCTTTTTCTTTCTGACTTACTTCACTGTGTATGACAGACTCTAGGTCTATCCACCTCATTACAAATAGCTCAATTTCATTTCTTTTTATGGCTGAGTAATATTCCATTGTATATATGTGCCACATCTTCTTTATCCATTCATCCGATGATGGGCACTTAGGTTGTTTCCATCTCCGGGCTATTGTAAATAGAGCTGCGATGAACATTTTGGTACATGACTCTTTTTGAATTTCGGTTTTCTCAGGGTATATGCCCAGTAGTGGGATTGCTGGGTCATATGGTAGTTCTATTTGTAGTTTTTTAAGGAACCTCCATACTGTTCTCCATAGTGGCTGAACCAATTCACATTCCCACCAGCAGTGCAAGAGGGTTCCCTTTTCTCCACACCCTCTCCAGCATTTATTGTTTCTAGATTTTTTGATGATGGCCATTCTGACTGGTGTGAGATGATACCTCTTTGTAGTTTTGATTTTCGGCAGGCGGATTCTTAACCACTGTGCCACCAGGGAAGTCCCTGTAGCTCTTTCAATGAATACTGGGCAAGTTATGATTATCCCAGACTTATTAAGAGCCAATTATGTACCAACTGTTCCATAAGATATTTTTATTGATTATTTAAATAACGTTGCAGAAAATTGACAATTATCCACATTTATGTTGTATTTTTAATCTTGATCAATATCAGCTAGTGTCATTTTGTATATACTTTTCTATATATTTCTGTTCTTATATTTATAATTTTTAATGTCTATTTGATGGTTCAGTGAATTAATATACTGTGTTTGCTTAACTTTTCCCAAGGAAATATTAATATGAATATTAAGCCCTTGGAAGAGAGAAAAAAAATATGAAGGTTGTAAGTCTAATTTTCTGGAGTATCGATTAGCCAACAAGACTCGCTATTTGATGTTTTAAAAGAAGTTTATTTTTAAAATAAACCAAAATTATTGCAGAAACATAGAGTGTGGGTATATAATATGTAGTTAATGTGGTGGTAAATACCAGTTCCCTGTGGTATCTTTTTAAGTAAATGATAATAATGAAGCTATGCTTGTAAGGATTAATGAGCAGTTTGCCTGCTATATTAAACTCAATAATAATTATCCTTTTAGTTTATCCATTAATTATCCTTTAACTGGCACATCAAGTGGTAAGCACTCAAGTGTTACAAAGCAAAGTTTAAAAAGTGATACATTCGTTAGTGCTTTCCAGTGTAATTGGAAAAAATATCAGATTAAGCATAGTTGAATGGTTTTGTTCCCAAAGAGTAAATTTTAAAAATTAAAAGTGTGCATCTTAGCCATCTTCCTTGGCCGAAGAAAATCAATCTGTTTTCCCTGCATAAACAACATTTTATAGTATTTTTTTATCAGTTTGGTATGTCAGAAAATACAAATACAAACACTTTTTACATAAAGTTAACTCTTAGCACCCATCATCATCTGAAATATTTTCATATTAGGGCAAATCAGTGAACCATCTAATCCAGTATCTGGTCTTTGACAGTAACCAATGTTGAGTGCATTCAAATCAGACATCAGATCTCCATAAATGTACTATATCAGGCAGTAGTAAACCATTGGATAAGTTATTGGCCCAATAACTAAAAAGCTTTTGCAATTTGATCTTAGCATGTGTTTTTTCAAATCCACTCATTACATTTTTATAGAAAATAATGTTTCTATGTTATTTGTTTGGTCTTATCCTTTAGTAGTGAAAGCCACAGATAAAGAATATACACACACAGCCCAAAAGTGCATCTCTTTATTACTCTACACATCTTGCTTTCCAGATTCATGGATTGTTTCCTTGTTCTTGGAATAAAGGAATAGATGAATAAAATCTCCATTGTTGAGACCCACACTCCATTCCCCTTTACTTTCTCCCTTCCAGATCTTCTTTGTTCTTCCCTGTCTTTTAGATCTTTCCTCATATGAACGTCCCCTGTGGTGTCATTCTCTTACTTCCCCTTCCTCATTATCCACTCTCCTTCCTACCTCACGGCCTGTGATCATTTTCCTATTATGTCATTTAAAAAAAATGAATCTGATTCTCAAAGTGAGCCTGTTATCGTTAAGAGTTATGAAACACTGGCTGGTTGGCCCAGTTGGTTGTCAGATGGTGCTAATGAGATCCAGGTCAGGGGTACATCCCCATATGGGACTGTTAGTTTTTTCTTTGTTTAATGGCCTCAGACTGTACCTCTGGCTTTGACCAGCTCTTTAATAAATGTATTCAAGTGGTCAAAAAGGAGTGTGGGTATATATGTACAAATCCAATCATGCTATTGGAAAACTCATACAAAGTTTGCTTCTAGTGGGTATTCAGTTCACCAAATGTTTAGTTCTACTACTACTAGTGCCAGAGGATAATGAAAACATGAATGAGTTGCAGTCCTTATCCTAAGAAAGCTTACTGTCTCCTGACTAAGAGCCTGTAAATGACTGACTAAATACGAGGCAGGATGAAATATGTCTGAAATAGTGTTACTAGCAAGTGGTATAAACACACAAAGGACAGAACAATGAAATCTGATGGGGAAATCTGGGAAGCTTTCATGAAAAAGCACTTGAACTAGCCTTTGTAAGAGTGGTTGGATTTTGCTAACTAGAAAATACATATAAAATAGAAACATATTTCATATGCTATGTATAGGATGTTACTAAAAGAGCAGAAAAGGAGGGAGGTATACATGGGGAAAGAGGAAATTCATTTCACAGATATTTACTGAGCACTTAATATGTGCCAGTACCTATGCTACTAGGCATGGGGAATTTAGAAGTGGATCCAAAATGGTACCAGCCCTGGAGGGGCTCACAGTCTCTGAGGGAAGTAGGCAAATGAATAGTCACAATACAGTGTGGGAAGTTCTGCACTTAAGGTATACACATGAAGAAGAGCTTCTTCCCTTGTTTTTAAAGAGCTTAACAGATGTGGCAGACATCACTAATTGATTATGGCAGCATTTCTTCTGAGTCCAGAATCCTTGACAAAAGACAGCTCTGGGTGGATGTGTTTTATATCTTCACCCAGCAATTGCCAGTTTGTCCAGGATTGGACAACTGAATAACACATACTCAACGCACAGGTACAAATAGATAAGGAAGGCAAATCAGATTCTCTGTCTCTGGGAAACTGAACTGGGAAATACCAAGAAGCAACAGTGGGAGTTTTGAAACAGAAGAGATATTGGAGGAGTTATGAGGAAGCAGAAGCTATGGGTAGAGATGTGTAGAATAGGGGGAGAGAATAAGGCAGTTAGAATTGATAAGTAAGGCAAATGGAGAGGAGGAAAAACATTTGAAAAAGAGACCAGGCAAATCATGAGAGACACAGAGAAAGGATATGGTCCGTAAATAAATCCCTAGGTTTCTTACAGCATTCTTGTTTCCATTCATACACATGTATCTCATAGTAAAACCCCTTTTTCTCAAAGTCTCAGTAAGACTCTGGTCCTTTCACCCAAAAGGGCTTACCTAAATTACCCATTACCTAGATTAGAATCCATTGGGAAGGACTCTCAACCTGGGTAGGTTTGGATTATCCAAAGGCAGTTATAAGGTAGGCATTCTTCACTTTGTTCAATGAACATGTTATACACAAGGATGCATGATGAATCATTTTCCCTTATGATTTACATTTTAATATTACAAATGTTTTTCTTCATTTCTTCATTCCGATTGACCTTCATTTAACAAGAAGCATGCATGAGAATTGCTAGCTACTTGCTTCTTATTCCCATCACATTGCTGGTATAGCACCTATCCTGCTGCCCCTTGGTTTTCTGTGTACATGCCTCTCCTTTCTAGGCTGTGACTTCTTAGAGGGTAGGGGGTCAGGTGTTTTCTGCTTGGGTATCTCTAATACCTAGATCAGACCATACTCAGAGTAGCGACTCAATAACTATTTGCTGAATGAAGTATGAATAAGTATCCAGTTCTGTGAATTTCAAGGCACTCTCAAGGTTCTTTTTTATATATACTACAGTTTGATGGAATGGCCATGACTTATTTTTGCAAATGTACACATACCCTTCTTCCCCTAACAACCACTCCCCTCAAAAAAAGAAAAAAAATTTTTAAAAAAGCCTTTTTTCTTGCCTGTCATATTAAGTGAATCTCTAAACAGTCAGTGACTAACCATCCTCACACTGGGACGAGGAACCCTCATTGGGGTGAGGAGCCTCTTTTGCAAATGTTGCTGGACAAATGCTGGGCAGATGGCCAGCCACCCTTATAGCCTTGTAAAGTAGTCTGGTACCCGGGCTGCCTCAGGCTGGGGGCTAGTTCAGTGCCCACCCAGGAGGCCATGAAAAGCTCAAGGAGTCTGGGTTCTGGAGAGCCATGGCACCACGTCCACTCACTCCAGCACCAGCCTTGGAGATAATCAGTCAGTCATCAGGACCCCAAACTTCCCTGAACACCTTTTGTCTGTTACACCTAGGCAGATGTCTGGACCTGGATATTCATTCTCTCTCTCCCTTTCTCTTTCTCTCTCTCTCTCAGTCCTGTTCTGTTCCCTGCGTGGTCCTCATTTCTTCCAGGTTTCTTTATTATATTCATTTTGGTCTGCTGGTCTCTCTCTTTCGTTAGGACACTTATCAAATGTCCGGTGATCCTTTTTTTATTTTGGTGCATTTTTTCCTTAAACTTTTCCTTTTTAAAATATATGTATAGGGCTTCCCTGGTGGCGCAGTGGTTGAGAGTCTGCCTGCCGATGCAGGGGACACGGGTTCGTGCCCCGGTCCAGGAGGATCCCACCTGTCGCGGAGCGGCTGGGCCCGTGAGCCATGGCCGCTGAGCCTGCGCGTCCGGAGCCTATGCTCCGCAACGGGAGAGGCCACAACAGTGAGAGGCCCGCATACCGCAAAAAAAAAAAAAATAATAAAATAATAAAATAAAATATAAGTATAGTACATATATGGAAAAGCACACAAAAGATATATGTACAGCTCACTGAATTCATCACCAAGCAAGTGCCCACCTCACCTGGCCTGATCCTTCTCATTCTCCAGCTCTCACGTCAAATGCCGTTCCCTCCTGAGGCCAGGAGCTGCCCTCCAGGGTCGGGTCCCTTTGCTGTAGCTCTGTGCCCCAGAACTCGCTCATATCCTCTTTCCCAGCCCTCGGTACACTTGCAGTCCCTGCTTCTATCTGTCTCCAGCCAACCCGTGCTCTCTGTGGAGTCAAGAGCTGTGTTGACCTTGTTCACTGCTCTTTCCTCAGCCCAGGCACATAGTGCTGAGTAAGTATTTGAATGTGTGGTAGGGTGGGGAGGGAAAGAGTTGAAGGGAAAAAAGCAAATGAGAGAAATTTGTTTCCTGTTTTCAAGGAACTCACTCTCAGGGAAGACAAACTCAAAAAAATAGATCATTATAATGTGTTATGAAAATGACTAAGGGAAGCTCGGGACACTGTGGCAGCCCCAAGGGGAACTTTCAGTCCTTTAAACTAGGATTTGCTTTTTTGCTTTTTGTTTTTTAGCTAAGCTTTGACACACAAATAGGAATGAGTTTCCTAGGGAAATTGCACCTTGCTGAGGAAACGTGTACCTGCGCAGAGGCGTAGAGGTGTGTAAAAGCAGCTGAGGTTGTTCAGGCTGGGCCAGGGTCAGGACCAGGGAGGCGAATAGTGAGCGACGCACCTGGAAAGGAACGAAGTGAGGGGGTCTCTGACCAGCAACCCGGTCTGGCCTGGATCCAGATCGTGTGGGCAAAAGTCTCAGACCTGTCCTGCTTTCATTAGGCCTGTGACTTCAGGAGGGCTTGGGCCTGAGCCAGACCACCCCAGAATTGCCACAGGTCCTATCCTCTAGGCCCCTTTCTGCTTAGCTGACCCTGCAGAGGTCTCTCCAGACTCAGCTGGTCTCTCTGAAGGTTAAGGGGGCAGTGAGTATGGTGAAAGGGAAGAAACATGGGTGTTGGAGTCGGGGGCTCCGAGTTAGAGTCCCAACTCTGCCTCTTAATAGTTGTAAGATCTGGAGCATTCCTTTACCTTTGAATCTGTTTCCTCATCTATAAAATGAGATAGTAGGAGTTGTGAGCAGTAAATGTGAAAAGTGATTTATAAACTGCTTTACACACATATTAGGATCCAGACCCATTGTTTTTAAAATGCTGTAAGGGGTTAAAAGTCACTTAAAAAACAAACAAAAAAGTATAAACTGTTATACTGATTTATTATCCTCGGTCTTCGTTTCCTGGTTGGTAAAGTACAGGGCCCAGGGCCCAGAACCCATTGCTTGGTTCAAGCCAGTTTCCTGTTATAATGGCAAATATTACCACCCGGCAGGGGTTGTGAATGAGGTCCCTGTCACAAAGCACATGGCCTTGTTCCTTAATTGCCAGGGTGGAATTAATTTGCTCTTCCTGTTTCTTTTGTGACAGGAAGTAGATGTCTTTGAATTTCAGTTGATTAATGGAGGCCTCTGAGCAAAGTGCTCCAGCCTCCCTTGCTTTTAATCCTTATGCAATGCAAGGCCCTAATTTGATAATTTTGCTGTTTTTTCAGATGGATCACCTACTGGTTGAAAATATTGAACGGGAAACGTTTCATCTCTGCTCCCGCCTCATTAATGGGCCATACCGGCGGACAGTGAGAGCCCTGGTCTTCACATTAAAGCATCGAGCTGAAATCCGGGCTCAGGTGAAGAACGGCACGCTGCCAGTCGGCACGTTTGTACAGACCCACAAAAAATGACCTGAGCATGGTTCCAACCCTGGGCTGGGCAGAAAGGAAAATGGGCCTTTCTCTGCCATTCAAAGACTCTTTTGAGTTTGGGCGATGGCTGATGCTGGCGGTGCTGAATTTTCCCATGGTGCCATTCCTTCAGACAGAGGATACAGAGAGCCCTGGGAGACAGACCTGCAGGAAATGCTTCATTAGCTGGAGTGCGCCGGTGCTGCCTAACAGGATGCGCGCTTGCTGTCGCTAGGAAGCGCAGTACGGTTGCCATCACCCAACACAGTGAAAGGGTGACAGATTCCACTGTGAATATGCCAGGGACACCTCTAAACTTCCTCCGTGTCAGGCAGATGAAGTTACTACTTTATTTTGCCACCCTGCAGGTAACTGAAACTCAATTACCACAGCTGCTCACTCAGTTCCGTCCCCCTGAGTTTAGATAGCTCCAGTGCCTCTCAGAACTCCCCTGTCTGTACTCTTTGCTCTACCCCAGGGGTGAGCCTGCCGGAGCCCGCCAACTACCCCTTCTTTCCAGAACTCACTTATCTGAACGTTGCAGCTCTCCCTGGAAGACCTGCGTTGGTCTCCAGAGCCCCCATGCTGAGGCTTCTAATGAGGAACTGTCCTGAAGCATCCCCACACCTTGGGGTTTATTTGAATATGTTGGCTCTCCCGGTTTAGGGCTCTGTAGAAGATACATAATGAAATTGCTCTTGAAATGAATTACTGTAGGAGAAAAATTATATACATATGTATTTTCAAATGAAATACCCGTATATAGACTTGCTTGAACAATTTTGTAAGTGATATTTGCTTTTTTTAAAAAGTAATAATAAACTGGGGCTTTTTTGTCCCTAAAACCAAAGGTATGGCTTGTTCACTGAAAAATGTTTTGGGTTGAGAAAGAGTATACTTGGTGAAAATAAAGAATGATTGGACAGGAATCTGAGGGAGATAGCAAGACCCAAAGGTTTTTTAGGTTAGGGGAGACTGGAGCATGTTTGTAATCTGAAAAGAAGGAGCCAGTAGAAAGGGAGAGATTTAGGGAATTCCCTGGCAGTCCAGTGGTTAGGACTCTGTGCTTCCACTGCTGGGGGCCCGGGTTCGATCCCTGGTCGGGGAACTAAGATCCTGCAAGCCTCACAGCGCAGCCAAAAAAAAAAAAAAGGGGGAGAGATTTAAAATCCAGAAAAAGAAGAGATGGATTAAAAAGGAAGGACACCCTCTCTCTCACACTCACACACACACTCAGCTTTTTTCTGACACTCTTTTGACAGTAAGTTGCATACATCACAGATCTTTACCCCAAATGACCAATAAACAAGAAATGATGCTTAGGGACTTCTCTGGTGGCGCAGTGGACAAGATTCCGCTCTCCCAATGCAGGGGGCCTGGGTTTAAGCCCTGCTCAGGGAAGTAGGTCCCACATGCATGCTGCAACTAAGAGTTCACATGCCACAACTAAGGAGCCAGTGAGCTGCAACTAAGGAGCCTGCCTGCCGCAACTAAGACCCGGTGCAACCAAATAAATATTAAAAAAAAAGAAAAAAATGATGCTTAACCTCAAAAATATTCAAGAAAATGCAAAATAAAGCAATAATACAATGCCATTTTTCACCGATAAAACTAGAAAACATTTTAAATTAGGACACAGGGAGGGGGAGGGGTAAGCTGGGACGAAGTGAGAGAGTAGCACTGACATAGTATATATGTCATAGTATATATACTACCAAATGTAAAATAGATAGCTAGTGGGAAGCAGCTGCATAGCACAGGGAGATCAGCTCGGTGCTTTGTGGCCACCTAGAGGGGTACGATAGGGAGGGTGGGAGGGAGATGCAAGAGGGAGGGGATATGGGGATATATGTATACATATAGCTGATTCACTTTATTATACAGCAAAAACTAACACAACATTGTAAAGCAATTATACTCCAATAAAGATGTTAAAAAAATAAAATACCAACTTCTGGTGAAGATGTGGGGAAATGGTCACTTTTATACACTGATGGTGGGAATATGAATTACCACACCCTTCTTGGAAAATAATCTGCCGATATTTACAAATATTTAAACATATATGTACATTGACCCAGCAGAAAGTTTTCCTAAAGTAATACATACAAGGATGTTTTGTGCACCATTATTTGTGTGTGGGGAAGACTGACAATGACTAGTCATTAAAAAGAATGGGACTTCCCTGGTGGCGCAGTGGATAAGAATCCACCTGCCAATGCAGGGGACACAGGTTCGATCCCTGGTCCGAGGAAAATCCCACACGCCGCGGAGCAACTGGGCCCACGTGCCACAACTACTGAAGCCCACGCGCCTAGAGGCCATGCTCTGCAACAAGAGAAGCCACTGCAATAAGCCCGCACACTGCAACAAAGAGTAGCCCCTGCTCGCCACAACTAGAGAAAGACTGCGTGCAGCAACGAAGACCCAACGCAGCCAAAAATTAATTAATTAATTAATTTTAAAAAAAGAATGAATGCTGTATCCATTGACCTGAAGGGTTGACCAAGATGTATTGTTAAGTGAAAAAAAAAGAAATTTATAGAGAAATGTCTTTAATAAGAACCCAGTTTTATAAAAAGGAAACAAAAAAATCCTATATATGAATGTATGTCTTTGTACAGGATTATATAAACACAGAGAAATGTATGAAACGATATAAGGTCATTTCCATTGGCTGCCTTAGGGAGGAGAGGGGAGTCAGAAGATGGCATGAAAGGAGATAGGAGTTGGGGAAGAAAAAAGTGTATCAAGATGAAATCTGCCAATGTAATGATGTTGAATATACTTGTATGATTTCGTGTGTATTTATGTTTATATTTTTGTTCTTTTAATGGACTAAGCTTATCAGAGATTTATTTTAGAGAAATTTAAAAAAAGAAGCAAGGACAGAAAGAAAGGAACTAACATTGTCTACCTTCTAGGTGCTAGATACTTTTTCTAAGATAATTTGTTAGCATTTACATTGATCTTTATATAGTTTTTTAAAAATCCTGTTGAATCATCTTGTTGTATTAGTAGGTATTGTTTCAGTTTTTTAGATTTCTTCTTTTATTCAGCAACCATTTGCTGAGTACCCATTCCATGAGGCCTTGTGGATACCTGGCAGGAGCTACAGATGAGACCCTGAGGCTCACCAAGCAGAAGTATCTTGTTCAGTTTCCCACTGCTAGTGACTACGGGAGCTGGAATAATGATTGCTCAGCACTGTGCTAGACATTTTTAAAAATACCCAATTAAAGGTGAGAAAATTGAGGCTCAACAGTGGTTTAGTAACTTACTCAAGGTCACACGGATAGTGAGTAGAAGATCTAAGATTCAAAACCCAGGTCTATGCTCAACGTCACTAATCATTAGAGAAATGCAAATCAAAACGACAATGAGGTTTCACTAGGTCCCATTTGTTTATTTTTGTTTTTATTTCCATTTCTCTAGGAGGTGGGTCAAAAAGGATCTTGCTGTGATTTATGTCATAGAATGTTCTGCCTATGTTTTCCTCTAAGAGTTTGATGGTGTCTGGCCTTACATTTAGGTCTTTAATCCATTTCTTTTTGTAGTGAGGTGGATGGACCTACAGACTGTCATACAGAGTGAAGTAAGTCAGAAAGAGAAAAACAAATACCGTATGCGAACACATGTATATGGAATCCAAAAAAAAAAAAAATGGTCAGAAGAACCTAGGGGCAAGACAGGAATAAAGATGCAGACCTACTAGAGAATGGACTTGAGGATACGGGGAGGGGGAAGGGTAAGCTGGGACAAAGTGAGAGTGGCATGGACATATATACACTACCAAACGTAAAATAGAAAAGCTAGTGGGAAGCAGCCATATAGCACAGGGAGATCAGCTCTGTGCTTTGTGACCAGCTAGAGGGGTGGGATAGGGAGGGTGGGAGGGAGGAAGACGCGAGAGGGAGGAGATATGGAGATATATGTATATATATAGCTGATTCACTTTGTTATAAAGCAGAAACTAACACACCATTGTAAAGCAGTTATACTCCAATAAAGATGTTAAAAAAAAAAACTGCATTGAGGTATCACCTCACGCCAGTCAGAATAACCATTATCAAAAAAGCTAGAAACAGTAAATGCTGGAAAGGGTGTGGTGAAAAGGGAACCCTCCTACACTGTTGGTGGGAATGTACATTGATACAACCACTGTGGAAAACAGTATGGAGGTTCCTTAAAAAATTAAAGATAGAACTACCATATGACCCAGCAATCCCACTACTGGGCATATACCCTGAGAAAACCATAATTCAAAAAGAGTCATGTACCACAATGTTCATTGCAGCTCTATTTACAATAGCCAGGACATGGAAGCAACCTAAGTGTCCATCGACAGATGAATGGATAAAGAAGATGTGGCTCATATATACAATGGAATATTACTCAGCCATAAAAAGAAATGAAATTGAGTTATTTGTAGTGAGGTGGATGGACCTAGAGTCTGTCATACGGAGTGAAGTAAGTCAGAAAGAGAAAAACAAATACCGTATGCTAACACATATATATGGAATCTAAAAAAAAAAGGTTCTGAAGAACCTAGGGGCAGGACAGGAATAAAGAGGACATGGGGAGGGGGAAGAGTAAGCTGGGACGAAGTGAGAAAGTGGCATGGACATATATACACTACCAAATGTAAAACAGATAGCTAGTGGGAAGCAGCTGCATGGCACAGGGAGAGCAGCTCAGTGCTTTGTGACCACCTAGAGGGGTGGGATAGGGAGGGTGGGAGGGAGATGCAAGAGGGAGGGGATATGGGGATTTACATATACATATAGCAGCCAAAAATTAATTAATTGTTTGTTATACAAACAATTTGTTATACAGCAGAAACTAACACAACATTGTAAAGCAATTATACTCCAATAAAGATGTTAGAAAAACAAAAAACAGGTCTATTTGCCTGTATATAGCCTCCCAGGTTGATTTCATCCACTCTCATGGTTTCAGGCATCTTTTACATGCTGATGACAACTCCAGTTTGTATCTTCAGCCCACCCCTGTCCCCCAAGTTTCAGACCCTGGATGACCAGGATCAAATTTGAAGGGCCTTTTGAGCACTAGGCGAAGGCGTTTGGACTGATTCCATGCAGGAACTATGCAGTTAGTTTTCTGGTTAAGGGGCTGTGTAGAAGAGAAGCTGGAGCAGGGAGAGAGACCGGAAGTGGGAAGCTTCATTTTTAAACAACCAAAAGATTCTGTTAACTTAGGAACCCGGAGTAAGTTGAAGACAAATTGCTCTCTGGCTGAAAGCCTTCAGTGGTGATAGTTGGAAACTACAATAATTACAGAGATGTGCTTTGGAGATTTGGAAAGCAGACTATGTTATTTGTGGCTGTTTTCTCCTTGATGCATGTGCAGAATTTCCATGAACACTAATGGAGCTATTCTGAGTGCTTGCTGAAGGGAAGGAGGCTTGCAGACATCCATGCAAGCTTGCCCACCCACTAAGAAGCACCTCTGAGTTCCAGCCTCTTAAAAATGAAAGGGTCAGCTCGTGAAATGAGGTGAGAGAAGTTCCTGGGACCTCTGAGTTGCCTGTAAGCCTAGGCATGAATACGGTTTCTAAATGTGTTCAGTTGCTAGGGGAAATTTGGGAGACTAAATACCATTAGAATCTGCTCCAGCAGCTTATTGATCCTTTTCTTGTGGTTGTTAAATTGGAGGTCCTGGTCTTTGGAGTAGGGAGCTTGTCTATTTTCAGTCACTCAACAAAAAAATGTTGCCCAGCTCCTGTGTTCCAGGGACTAGACTGGCCCTGGGGAAACTGCAGTAAATGAGATACAATTTCTACCCTTCAGGAACTCTTAGTTTGGTGGGGAGACAGACAGGTAGGAAAAT